GGTGGGTGGGTGGGTGGGTGGGTGCGGGTGGTGGCGGGTGGGTGGGTGGGTGGGTTTGTTTGTGGTTTGTGAGTGGAGTAGAGGGTACATACACATGTATGTATACATACATAACATATATATGTATCTATGTACCTATGTTTATGTACATATGCATATATGTATATGTGTATATAAGTATGCATGCATATATACATGCATATATATATATATACATACACATATATATATATACACATACATACATACATACACACATATATATATATATATACATACATATGTGTACATGTATGTATTCACGTACGTACCTATGTATGTATGTATGTATGTATGTATGTATGTATGTATGTATGTATGTATACACGTATGCACGTATGCATGCATGCATGCAGGGATGTAGGTATGCATGCATGTATGCATGTATGTATGCATGTATGTATTGTATTGTATACACATACCTTGCACATCTGCATTATGGACAAATCAAGAAGCCTACACATTCGTGTGTATACACACATGTATATATATATATATATGTATGTGTGCATGTGCAGTGCCAATATACGCGAATGTGCAGATGCCCAAATCCAACTATAGTCTGCAAATATGACAAGCATCATTCGCGCTGTGTTTCCGTGTCTTTGCGTATCTGCATGAAAATGTATACCGGCTGTTATCTATATATGTGCCAAACATAGCACTCAAAGATCCGGTTACGCATGTGTGCATGTTCCTGTCCGGGCCCGAAGCTGGATGAGACATTTGTGCGGTTTGAGCTGGGGGTCTCGGAGCAAGCTGTCGTCCAGACGAGAACAGGTTTGGTATTCCTAAACCCCAAACCCTAAATGCGCAAAATGAGCAAGCCTCACGGCCTCAAACCCAAAGTCCCACATGCTACCACCATGCAATGCCCCAAACAGCTGATCCTTGCTCGCTCGCTGCCAGATTTAGTGGACTCTGCCGGATCCAGCCTCTCCGGCCGCAAAAAAAGGGGGAGGGTTTGAGATTTAGAGCACCCAAAACATCCCAAAACCCTCTTGTGTTGTTGGGGCTTGCAATCGATGCCTTGAAAGATTTCGACATGCAGGCTTCGAGAGGGCCTGCACTACCATGGGCTTAGCAGGGAGGCCAACGGCAAACATGTATTTGGAAGTATACGTGAATTTGATATTTCAACGCCTTTCGAAATACAACAACCGCTTGAATCAGACCGGTGGGAGCTAGTAGAAATTCGAAATTTGTGGAAGTGACACTTCACATGATGCCGCGAGAACTTGTCTCACTGACAACCCAACTGCGGGCTCAGGAGCAAAACGAGCTCCCTGTCGCAAGGTTTCTTCACCCAGCACACGTAGAGAGCGTGCGGTAAAAGAAATCAGCATAAAACGGAGACTTCCCACTGAACAGCTTCGATTCTTCCTGATCCACTTAAGCCCAAGAGTCGCAGGCGAAACGTCGGATGCTTCGCCGGCACACAACAATGCAGTCGCGACCTCTGCCGGGATTTCCCTAGACCCTAAACCGCAAAACCGAAACCCCAGGACCTAAAACCCTAAACCTAAACCCCAAGCCCAAACCTATACCCTAAGCCCTAAAACACTAAACCTAAACCCTAAACCCCTAGCCAGCTTGCACTTTCGGATTTTGAAGTGTCCCTGTTCAGCTCAAGGCTCCGGCTTCGCGAGACCACCTTTAGTTTCAGTATGCTACTCTTACACTACAATGCGTTTCTACTATGTTATAGATTTATATGTGCATGTATATTATTTTTCAGGTTTTCCTTCTACCAGTCACCATTTGTTGTCCCAAGAGTATGCAGATCGACGGTGTAGTGTTCAGTTCTTGAACCAGGGTTCACCAGTGCTCACTACGATTACTGTTTAGGGTGAAGCTAAGAAATTGTTGAAGTCATTCTTGATTGTGAACGGTTCCAGTCACCATACTTGTAATGCAGGTGAAAATTTGTCAAGTATGGCTATCTATCCGTACGCTTCCTTGTGCCACGAGGTGTTTGAAGTGTTTATTCGTGAGCGCAACCAATCTGGCCTTCTGCTCCAACAGCTTAATTTGGCGCTTAAACACCCGAAGCACTTCACCAGGCATGGAACAGAGACGCGGTATGAAAGAGAGACACCAAAACACGAGATTCCAGTGATGCCTGATGCAACCTTTGTCACCGCCGCAGGGGGCGCGTGCCCTACCGTCGTCAGAGCAATGGCCACCCTCAGCGGATTGGCCTGGTCCTCGGGGTGTCGGTTTGCGATGTGGTGTAGGGTTTAGGGTTCAGGGTTCAGGGGGTCTTGGGATCCTGGGATGTGGACCACGCACGTGAATTCGGGGTCGCTCGTGGCCAAAGGTCCGATGTGAAGGCTTCGGGCCATGTACCACTCGGGCATAGTGCTTGGAGGAGTAGGGTTATAAGTAGGGTAACTATAATTATAACCCATATTAGGGGACCTATAACCCCATTTATAACTACCCATGAACCTCCAAGTGTCTTGTGATCGAATCCGGCTTCTCCGAAGATCTGAGTCCTTGCCACACACTCGGCCTCTAAAGACTCTCCTTTCCCCGCAGCCTTTAGGAGATTGGAGCCTCCAGGGGCCTGTGAGATGGCAACAGGTCGGCCTACTAGCAGGACATGACTGATAGCTTAGTGGCAGCTGTAGTTCGAAGAATGTTTCAGGTTAGACTGGTATTCATTTGTGTGGCTCGCAAGCTCCGGCCTCAAACAGCCCTGTGCGGGTGAAAGCCTTCACATCATCTTAGACCCACACTCCACGGCCCTGTGCGGTGGATTTTGGCTCCTTTCGGTCACATGCCGGCGTGCGAGGATGCGTCGATGCAGCCGTTGATCAGGCTGCGGCCAGACGTTTGCAGCCTGCAGCAATGGCAGGAGACTTTGAATCAGGCAGTGGCAAGCCACCCCATGGCCAGTCTGGCTCTCAGCACTGTTGTGGCTGTAGCTTTTTCTATGCTGCTACTGGATGGATCAGAGCTCCTTTACATGGTCGGAGTGGTTGGATGGATCCTTTCCGGACCTCCTCTAATCATTACTCTGCTTTTTGTGGCCAGCGGACTCGAAGAGCCGGCTGCAGCCAAGTCTCCTTGCCTCCAGGTTCCCAAGTAGTACCCTTTTGCCCTTGTTCTTTTTGGGTTCCCTTGTTAAAGCCAAAACCAGTAGTAGGAAGAAGGGTGCCCTCATCATTACGGGGCTACTGGGAAACCTAGGCCTTCTTGAATCCCTGCCGAAGTCCTTCTGCATTCAGTTCATGAGCGGTGCAAAGAGCAGTTTCGAGAGCTTGTTTTCCGAACCGCTGCCGGTGCGAGTCGTGGTTTTCTACCACACCGTGGATTCCTCCGCGCATGTTTTGGAAGAACTTCAGCACTGGGATCAACTTGCTGGCGAAGACGAGTGCTGCGGAAAGATCGTTCTCTGCAACACGGAGTCTGCGGAGAAGGCCATCTCTGTGTCAGCAAAGATCGGAGTGCACAAGGCCTTCCACGTGCACGCCCTGCGCCCTCGAGGGCTGCCACGTGCGAACCCACTGGCTCTTCTTCTGGATGCGAGCGGGAGGATCTTGAAACTGGGCTCCTGTTCAGGAACTCAATACTTCAATTAAAGTTGCATAAGACATAAGAGGGGTCTAAGAGTAAATACTATAGAGTGTCCTTATTATGGAAACTCAGATTCAGTTCCCTCACAAGAGCCTAGGAAAGTGGAGGATGTCAAGCTCAGTGACGCGAGGCGGAGCCTGATCAGCCAATCAAGCTCGCTCCGCAAGCATGGCCTGAACACATCAGGCCCACTTTAATACAGAAGCACTGAGGGCCTCAGGCGGCCGAGGGGCACCCTAATTTGGGTGCCCTACTTTATACCAGGATTTTTTGCTGTTTTGCTCAAGGGATCGGGGGGTTGCCCCGCCAGATCGTGGGGGGGTTGCCCCGCCAAGGTCCTTTCCTAGTTTCTAAGTATAGAGCAGACGCACCTTTGAATTCACTTATATGGGGCCACAAGGGTCTGCAAACCTGTGGGCCCAACCTGCAAGGCTAAGAACCTCTAACTAGTGGGAGCTGCGATCCGGCAAGAGACCTGCCCCTTGCACAGTGTATTCCAGGTTGCTACAACCGGTTGGGTTTAGAGTTTGGGGCTTTTAGGGTTTAGGGTTTAGGGTTTAAGGCTTTTAGGGTTTAGGGTTTGGGGTTTAGGGCCTTATGACTCGTGCCTCCATTGCACATCTGACTGTCTGTCCGAGGCCCGCAGCACCTCCTCAGAACTCCTTCGCATGGCCAGAAGCAGGCACAGGCACCGGGCGTCTTCTGGTGCAAGGCTTATCAACTGAATAGGCTGGCCCCTAAACCCTAAACCCTAAACCCTTAAACCCTAAACCCTAAACCGTAAACCCCTAAACCCTAAACCCTAAACCCTAAACCCCTAAACCAAACCCTAAGCCCTAAACTCTCGGGCTTCGGTGTGGTTTCGGCATTCTGGGCAGTTTGCAAGTGCAAGCTGGGACACTTTCGGCGCAGAGGCCCCAGAACCCCTCGCATCCCCGGAGATGGCCAGCAGTCATTACTCCTATAGCTTCATATTGCTTCATAGAACAGAATCCATATATATATATATATATATATATTAATCCATATTGATGTAGATTAGTCCATATCATACATATTAACAGACTTCAAGCACTATAAAAACTCCAGAAACCCGGAGCCAGAGCTGCAGGATCCGGCAGTTCCTGGCCACCTTCTACACCCTCCACGGATCCCTGGGGCTCGCCGAGCAAGGTGCGCAGAGTCAGGGTTCAGGGTTTAGGGTTTAGGGTTTAGGGTTTAGGGTTTAGGGTTTAGGGTTTAGGTTTTAGGGTTTAGGGTTTAGGGTTTAGGGTTTCAGTTGTTGATCAAGGAACCGAATCACTAAGACTCAGACTGGTGCTGCAGCTCGTGCCAATACATGAAACCACACCCCCTAATACTAAAAGCACTTCCCGAAATTATCCCCGCCTTTGTCGAACCTGTGTTGGATTAGGGGGCTTCAGGAGCAAGAGCAAGAGCCGGAGGAGCAGCAGCAAGGAGCAAGGATCCAGCGCAAGAGAAAGAGCGGCAAGAGCAAGGCCAAGATCCCCTAAATGTGCAAACAGAGATATCCCCTGTGAACAGCAACACGCATTTAGAGCTTTTATTTTGGGCCTCCCGCTTAGTCTAGGGTGAAGCGATTCATATCGATGACAGGTTTATCGCTTTTAAGCCCGATGCTAATGCTGCTGATGCTGCTGTCGTTGCTGACGAAGATTTGCGAGATAGGTATGGCTAAGGGCAAGTACTCTCTCTTTTCGATGTGACCTACAATGTGCTCGCCTTGAGGTTAGCGAAATGCTAATACCTGTCATGACCAAGATGATGTGATCTCATGATTAGAGAGTAGAGTCTAGTCTTAGACAGCTGGTTCTTGTTCCCCCATGTATTCCTATGAACTGCGAGATTCACGCAAGTTCGGAAAATTCTCAACGCGCCGTGACACAGCAAACGGCATAGTTGTCAATATCGTCCCCGGAAAGCAGCTTTATTTGGTACACCCCAAACCCCTATTCCAACTGCTCAGGCACATCGTACCCACAGCATACTGACGGAAAGTGGTCGTAACCCATATAGTCATCTCTGTACACAAACCCTAAACCCTAAACCCTAAACCCTAAACCCTAAACCATAGGAACCCCTATAAAGACTTTTATAGAGTACTCGGAGTGCAGGCTCTGCCTTCTCCGCCTGTCCGGCGGGACGCCCAGAGTGGCACCCTATTCCCAGCTTCGCTTTGAATAGAGCCACGGTTTAGGGTTTAGGGTTTAGGGTTTAGGGTCTACCGACTGTTTTGGGGGTCTCTAAGGTTTCGGTTCAAGATCAGATAGAAGGCGTCTTCACCTGTGCTCTTGCTTTCTTTTCGGAACATAAGTAAAGAAGGACCCTTTGGGACGAATGTGAAATTATTCTAAGAACCCCGAAGAAGTCTCCTGAGCCTCCCCAATTGGGAGTTTGGAGCTTTCGCCGTCCACCAAAGCTACGTCTTCATGGTGGGCTTGTTGTGTAGGGTTAAGGGCTGAATGCCAACACAGATTTTCGCATATTTTCGCGTAAGTACGTCTACGAAAGTAAGATCGGTACTTATAGGAGGGATGCAGGCGAACACAAGATTTCGTGTACATGATTTTTGATTCGCATGAGAAGATAGGAAAGTAGTGAATGAACACAGAATGACCAAATATCCCTGTCAGCTTCGTTTTGAATGCTCTGCATGTCAACTCAGCTTCCCAACAACTTGACAACCAACTACTGCTTGGATGTTCATGGGTAGTTATAAGTGGGGTTATAAGTCCCCTAATAGGGGTTATAATTACAGTTACCCAACTTATAACCCTACTTATAACTACCCATGAACCTCCAAGTGCCAAAAACTGGAAACTCACACTGCAGCTGAAGACCCTGAATCGCTGAGCCAGGCAGCCCTTGCGCATCTAGACGCCGCAACTCTCGGAAGATCCATCAGATGTAGGAAAATCTGAACCCTCAAACCCGGAAGCCCACAAACACTACAATGAACCCGATCTATCTCGATCTTAAACTTCTACAACACCGCCAGTGCGACAGTAAGCCCTGCCATTGACGCTCGTGTGAGAAGCAAGCCTAGAATTAAGCATAAGTGTGCTTCCAGTGCCGCGAGGCAACAGCGCAAGCCGGTCCTTTCCTCAAGCTGCATCACACGACGTTGCCAGATCCATGGCATGGGCTTGGGATTTTTTCGGAGCGGGTGTCAGAGTATGAAGGCTAAGCAAGCAGGGGTGCGTCTCCCGAAATGGCTCCTTGCAGCGGACTGTGAGCACCAGCTCATTCCATGCTGGATCCACCCTAAACGCTACACCCTAAACCCACCTAATGACTTTCGTCCAGCGAAAAGCCCCAAAAGCCTCACGCCCCTGGCACCAATTGCGGCGCACAACATGTAGACTTCAACCGATTGAATGGCCAACCTTGTCCGGTAGGATTTGCAAGGGCCAAAAGCGGTACAAGGCTTGGTGCAAGAGCGTCCCCGAAACCCTAAACCCTTGAACTCTAGCAGCTTTTAGCATTTTGGCGAGCCTCCAGCCTGCTTCCTGCGAACCACACGCCTAATGACTCTTCAAATCCCATGGCAACACCCCGTCCTCCCAAGAACATCTGATCGCATTTTCTTATCAACTACCCTAGACCCTAAATCCTAAAGCCTAAATGAAACGGTGAGGTGCACACCCTTTCCTAATCGACTGGCACCTTCAGATCCTGGAATAGGGTCTAGGGTTTAGGGAGACGTACTCACAGCATCCCCCTATAGACCCTATACATCGTCATGGCAGGATATCCCCCAAGGCCCTCTGCTAATGTACAAGGACCCTTCGTTTCCAGGTGCCCAGCTATGCCATTCCCTGGGAGCCAGTGTCCTCCCCGCCTGCTGAAGCAATGGCCTCAAAGGCGCATGTTGTAGGGTTTACGTAGGGCTTTGGGTTGAGGTAACCCTAAACCGGTGTGAGTATAGTTGATCATGATTCGTGTTCTCATTTTCCGTTGTTGCTTGTTGTTGCTGCTTGCTGCTGTAGTCTAGGCCAACTGGGCGCTGTTGCCCTTGCCGAAACAAGCCTAAGCCCAGCAGACTTAAAGCAAAGTTCCGTGAACCCTCAAGGGCCCCTTATACCCTCGTCCTGGCATTTTGTGCCTTCGTGGTTCCCAATTCCCTTACCCCTTAACCCTAAGCCCTAAACCCTAAACCCTAAACCCTAAGCCCTAAGCCCATTTCCCTTTCAGGCTCTTAACTCCAGGATGCTAGGGTCCTCGGGAGGCTCATGGGCCCCCAGAGTAAAAGCCCAAACCTTAGTCCCCAAAGCCCAAACCTTCCCCAAGAAAGCCCACAACAGCAATAAGAGCCTTAGGGTTTAGGGTTTAGGGTTTAGGGTTTACCCTAAACCGTTTGTTCCTGGATCGTAAATCCGGCCACTGGAAGGCCTTTGCGCCTTTGGAGTTTGTGGGTGCTTCCGTGCATGCCTCCCTAAATCCTATGACTCCTAAACCGCAAATCCAAACAGCATCGGACTCATTGAGAAAAGCGCAGAACAGAGAATCCGTGATGTTGAATTACACGTTCAGGCTTTAACGCTTAGTCGATCACCAAAGCACGCACATCGTGCAACGATCGCACCAGCTTGTACTCGGTTAGCACAACATGACAAGATCAACGATACACATTTAAGTGGCCGTGCGAATCACGGGCTCCAGAGCCCGAAACCCTCATCTTCAGCCCCAAGCACGCCAAGCCCCAAGTATCCTGGACGCAGGTTCCCGGGCCTTGTGCACTGATGGATGCACCTGGGATCCTACAGCCTTGTTCTTGAGGAGCTTCGGGACGTATACGTACGTAGGGGTTAGGGGGCTACTAGTAGGGTTATGGCTATCGCAAATTGGCCTAGGGCGCTGCGACCAAGTAGTACATCTACCCCTTCAGCCTCTTAGAGAGAGAGAGAGAGAGAGAGCGAGAGCGAGCGAGAGAGCGAGGCAGAGCAGGAGCGAGAGCCAGATGAGGGGAAGGTGTTCATGCTTCGTGTATGCAGGGGTTACACATGCACGTGTATACACGTACATACATACATACATACATACATACATACATACATACATACATACATACATACATACATACATACATACACACACAGAGACATACATACATACATACAT